CCATCTCCAAGTTCAAAGAAGCGGTGTCTGCCAATAAGTGGCCAGAGGAGTTAAAAGTTGGACTGATTGGCTCCTGCACAAACTCATCCTACGAAGACATGTCTCGCGCTGCATCAATTGCACGTGATGCTCTTGATCACGGCGTTAAGGCCAAATCAATGTTCACGGTCACTCCCGGATCCGAGCAAATTCGTGCTACAATCGCGCGAGATGGTCAGCTTAAGACTCTTGAGGATTTTGGTGGTATGGTCTTGGCGAACGCTTGCGGACCGTGCATTGGTCAGTGGGATCGAAGGGATGTCAAAAAGGGCGAGGCTAATTCCATTCTCTCGTCGTACAACCGTAATTTCACTGGAAGAAACGATGCGAATCCTGCAACACACTCCTTCGTCACCTCACCAGATCTTGTGGTCGCCCTATCGTTGGCTGGCACGCTAAATTTCAACCCTCTGACCGATACCTTGAAGGACAAGGACGGTAACGAGTTCAAGTTGTCTGCTCCTACCGGAGATGGCCTACCTGCAAACGGTTATGACCCTGGCCAGGATACTTACCAAGCACCACCCGAGGAGCGAGCTTCGATTTCTGTTGCTGTGTCTCCAGAAAGCGACCGACTTCAGATCCTCTCCGGATTTCAAGCGTGGGATGGCAAGGATGCTACAGACATCCCAATCCTAATCAAAACCAAAGGCAAGACGACAACCGATCACATTTCCATGGCGGGTCCTTGGCTCAAATACCGCGGTCATCTCGACAATATCTCCAACAACATGTTAATTGGAGCAATCAACGCTGCTAATGGCGAAGCCAACAAGGTCAAGAACTTCGCAACCGGTGAGGTCGGTGCAGTTCCTGCAACAGCCAGAGACTACAAAAAGAAAGGTATCCAATGGGTCGTAGTCGGTGACTGGAATTATGGCGAGGGCAGTTCAAGGGAACATGCCGCTCTCGAGCCAAGGCATCTCGGTGGTATCGCGATCATTACTCGTAGTTTTGCCCGTATCGTGAGTTCTTCCCTAGGCTTGCTTCGCATCTACGTTCCGGCTGTTCCATCGGCACGCTGATTATCACTCTTACAGCACGAAACCAATCTCAAGAAACAAGGCATGTTGCCATTAACTTTTGCCGACCCCGCCGACTATGACAAAATCAACCCAGATGACAAAGTCGATGTTATGTGCACGCAATTGGCCGTCGGCAAACCCTTGACGTTGAGGGTACACCCCAAAGATGGCAAGGTTTGGGAAGCAAAGCTGCAGCACACCTTCAACGAAAGCCAGATCGCGTGGTTCAAGGATGGCAGTGCATTAAACACCATGGCAAGACATGCAGAGGCGCAGACCGAGAGTGGGGCAAATGCTTAAGAAGAATTGTAGACTGCTCAGAGAAAGTAGTCCTCGGTGTTGCCTTAGGAGGCGCTGAGGCTTTGTTACCAGCAAGGGAAATGAAAGTCAGTACAGATTGCAGTGTTGAAAGACTAGGGGGATCGATGCGAGTGTCAATTTGGCATTACCTGTACGCATTGTTATGCTTTTGTGCTGCCCGACTTGTACATGAAAATCCCATTACGGTCCATGAGGAAACTTGCGTAAATCACGATATGTGTACCTTCCATAAACGTAGTACTCTACTGCTATCTATGCAAACCCCGACCTCAGTAAGTCTTCGTTCAGATTACTGTCTTTTTAGGTAACCCCTGACTCTCTGTTAGATGGGGTTAACACTATAAACGATTTGGAGTATCTATCAACACAAGCTACTTGCACGGCATACATCAGGAGTGGCGCATAGTCATTCGCCTCCCGAATCGGAACCCTCATCATTTCAACGTGTAACCCTTGGCTTCCCTCTTGCGATACCGCTGCCCCGTGGATTACCACGCGCTGCTCCTCCTCTTCCTCCTATTGGCTGAGTCTCAGCACCTCCGCGCTTGTTAAGCCCCGAACTTGGACGGGCCATGGGTGCCGGTGTTGCAAACTTGGTGGGGCCTCGAGAGGAAGGCGGATTTTCAACAAAGGATGTATCCGTTGTCATAAAAGTCTCATCGGCAAAGTCGGGACGGGAGACATGATCTGCAGATTGGCCATGCTCTTCATTCTGTTTCGCGCGTTTGAAGGAATCCAATATGGGAGCCTGTTACGATGCTTCAATGCCACCGTTCTCTCAAGAAGACGCAGAACGCACCTCTGGGAAATCCACGCAGAAAGCATTCATGTTCATCCCATACAGGAAACTTGCAAAGCTCTCATTGAATCTGCTCAAGCTCTCGTGCATCAACTGCAGATGCATGAAGTTGGCCTCTAGGTCGGCCATTGAGTCGGAGAGTTCGGCAAAGGCAGGCTCAAGAAACTCGAGAGGAGAGGCAGAAGAGCCGGTCTTGGGGGTGAAGGTTTGACTGTCGCGGAGGGATGTGCGTGAGCTGGGCCGTAGAGGGGTGGAGGGCCGAGAGGGGGGCTTGTTGTGAGATGCGGAAGTGGAGCGTTTGGGATTGGAGAAATCCATACTTTAGGAAATCTAAGGCAGTGGATGACGTTTTGGGCCAAGAAGAAGAGTATTGTGCACGGCGCGTACGGCGTAGTCGAGTTGAAGATTTGTACCGTACGTGAATGTTGTGGTTGTACTCGTAGGGGGATCTGTCCGCACCATCGGGCCCTTGGAGATGCCGAGGGCCCACTTGTTTCGGTTGTTTGATGCAGTATAATCAGTATATATAAGAGAATAAGATAGGGCTGAGCTAAAAAAAACCTTGAATTTATATGTACAGCCAATTATAAATTCGAGGTTATTACGGAGGGTGACACCAAAAGTCCTGCACATGCGCTAAATCTCTTGGCATGCTTGGCAAAATTCTGAATATTTTGAATATCCTCAATATCACTGCTTTTTACTTAACAGCGACGTCAATGCTGTACATATGAGATACATACATACGGAGTGTATACATACGGAGTGCATACGCGTTGTAGCGACGTTACAGCCATGCATGAAGAGTGTATTTACCGAATTGCGACGTCAATGCTAAACGCACTGGCCCACGAGAAAAGGGGGAGAATCTTAAGACTTTGTATCACATATGAAGTCCTCAACATAGCTGTAAGAAGCAATCCTCTCTATATTCTCTATGTCATCACTAGAAAAATGAAGCTATCCAAGAAAAAGGTCAGATTTATCAAAATGCCAAGCATGCCAAGAGATTTAGCGCATGTGCAGGACTTTTGGTGTCACCCTCCGTACGCCTTTTGGCTAGACTATCTAAGTTAAGACTATCTAAGTTATCTAAGTTATTCGAGACCTCTTATTAAAAAAATAGATGTACCTTATTCACAAATAGAATAACTTTTTATTTTTATTAAAAATTTAAGATTTCTTTTTTAAATTATAGATCGTAGTTGTCATGAGATGCCTCAGGGATACTCATAGGGCCACTAGCGTAGGCTTGGCACCGCACATATCTGCCTGCAGACCACATAGATAATCAACATCTTTTACACCACACACATATATGAGTTAAATCATAATAATTCCTTAACAGTAGTATACGCTTTTCAATGATTTAAAGATTGTAAAATTTAATCTTATAATTATTAAAGGGTAAGGACCTTAAATATCGCTTATTAAAGTTCGCTTATTAAATTTACTAATAGCTAATTAAAAAATAGATATATATTATTTAATTTTAGAATAACTTTTTTATTTTCTATTAAAATTTTAGAATTTTTTTTAAATTATAGAACGTAATTTACGCTTTTAAATAAAAAAAAGTTATTAAATTTAGTCTTTTAAATATTTAAAGATAAGAAATTTAAATATCGTCTATTAAAAGTTCGCTTATTAATTTTACTCGATAGTCGATAGCCTTAATTAAAAAATAGATATATATTATTTAATTTTAAAATAACTTTTTTATTTTCTATTAAAATTTTAATTTTTTTTTTAAATTATAGAATATAATTTACGCTTTTAAATAAAAAAAGAATTATTAAATTTAGTCTTATAAATATTTTAGAATAAAGAATTTAAATATCGCTTATTAAAAACTTATTTACTCTATTAAGATTATCCTTTAATATAAGCTTAGATAGTCGAGTAATAATAATTTTAATAAAATTCGAAACTATTTCGCTTCGTCCTCGATTCGAATCTATAAATTTTTCTTATTAAAAAAATCGTAAAATCGTAGAATCGTAAAAATCGTAAAAAAAAAAAAAAAAAAAAATAGACTATAATAGATATTAAAATTAACTTCTTATTAATTAAATTTAAATCAATATAAAGTTAATTAACTCTCTATAAACTTATTATTAATATAATTTCTCTTTTTTCTATTAAATTTTTTTTTTTTTTTTTTTAAATTATAGAATATAACTTACGCTTTTAAATAATTTAAAATTTATAAATTTCGATTTTATAGTTCTAAGTAAATCTTAAATTAAATTATTTTCACTCTTCGAGAGTCCAATTCAATCTCGAAATCAGATTTAAAAATTAATTACTTTTTATGAATTTAATTCATGGGCCTAAACTTGTACAGTAATCATACAGTAATGGTCTCCACGAGTTGGACAGCTTCAGATGTTCTAGAGCACGGCTTATAGAATCATTCATTCTCATTCTCATCCTCCTCATCATCCTTAGAGACCTATGACACAGCCTGACACGCCAATGACATTCCACTCGTTAGGACTGTGTATATGTACTCTCGCAGCATCCTGCGTCCTCTCTCTCTAAGACTCCAACACCATCCCGCTATTTCGCGGTCTCGATCTGTCTCTAGGATTTCCGCTTCGCCGCATACCGCCTGGAGACAACCGTATCACACTCTTCTCGAGTGCCGTTGGCGCATCGTGCAAAGCGGCCTCTCCGGCCCAACGACCGTTATCCTTCTTCTAGCAAGTCTAGTCGGCGGATTTGTCTACCTATACCAGCCTACAAAACCCCCAGAGCACGAAGACTCTTTCGAGGGTACAGAGGACTACAAAGAGACAGAGGAATACGCAATCATGCCTGGCGCTGCACTCCCGGGGAGACCCGGCAACCTCACGAAGGAACAGGAACTCAGATTACAGGAGATGTGGACTGCGACATTGAAAGTCTTCGGCGTGTCTGGCTTCAACAATGGTACCAACGGTGATGCTGTATCAATAACGGGATCCGAAACTGCTGAGCAGGCCGGGACGGTTGGCTCAGAAAAGAAGAAGAAGAAGCGCGTGAACTTGTTCAGCAGGAAACATCATGATGACGTTGGTACCGAGGACGCTGAAAGTGTGTCTGCTACAGATGCAAACGACAAATATGGTCAGGCAAAGGAATTCCACAAAGTTCTCGAAAGCCAGTCTCCAGAAGCTATACGTACGGCTTTCTGGAGTATGGTCAAGCATGATGATCCTGATGGCTTGCTGCTGAGGTTTCTTCGGGCGCGCAAATGGAATGTGCAAAATGCTCTGATAATGTTAATTTCTACAATGCACTGGCGAATGCAAGAAATGCATGTAGACGACGACATAGTAAGAAGGGGAGAGGCCGGCGCCTTGGACGATAGCATTAACTCAACCAGCCCAACCAAGAAAGAAGGCCATGATTTTCTGACGCAAATGAGGCTGGGAAAGAGCTTTTTGCATGGCACGGACAAAGAGGGAAGGCCACTCACCTTTGTGAGGGTGAAGTTGCACAAACAAGGAGAGCAGAGTGAAGCTAGCCTCGAGAGGTTTACGGTGTACACGATTGAGACTGCTAGATTGCTCCTTTCTCCTAACGTGGACACTGCAGTGAGTATCTCAATATCGAATTGTTGGCCGAGTTCTCAACAATAGTGCTAGGCCATCATCTTTGACATGACGGATTTTTCCATGGCGAATCTGGTATGTTGGTCCCTTTCGAAGTAGCCATTTCTTGTGTTGACTTAGCCATCAGGATTACGGCCCCGTGAAGTTCATGATCAAGGTTTTTGAGGCGAACTACCCAGAAAGTCTAGGAGTTGTTCTCGTGCATAAGTCCCCTTGGATGTTTCAGGGTAAGCTGTCATCAAGACCAGCCAAGGGACGACGCAACATGCTAATTGTGCAGGCGTTTGGAAATTGATCAGGGGCTGGCTAGACCCAGTGGTAGCGGGCAAAGTCCATTTCACCAAGAACGTAGAGGAGCTAGCAGAGTTTGTCGAGCGAAGCCATATTATCAGGGAACTAGGAGGAGACGACCCGTGGACCTACCAATATGTTGAGCCAGTCGCTGGAGAAAACAAGCTACAGTCAGACGGTGTAACAAGACAGCGTCTGCTGGACGAGCGAGCTGCAGTGGTCAAGGACTACGAGGCCACAACGCAGCAATGGATCCGTGATCCTAATTCGACGCATGCGCTGCAACAGAGAAGATCCGAGCTGACCAACCGATTACGAACTGGTTACTGGGAGCTCGATCCGTATCTGAGGGCAAGGACTTTGTACGATCGTACTGGTATAATCAGAGAGGGTGGGCAGATCCAGTACTACGGGTCTCCCAACAGCGCTACTGGTTCAAATGCTGGCCATCATTCGATTCAGAACGGCCCACTTCCTCCAGAACACCGAACGGATGAGCTGGACTAGTATGGTTGAGGGGATCTCTGTATGCCCTAGAAGTAACGGGTGGCTATGGAGTGAGATCCGATGTTGTACGAAGCCATGATTCGACGGTCACCGTCATGCCCGACCTCTCATGCTGTACATACTACACGTTCCAATCTTTAATCAGTATTCTACATTTTCGCCTGGACCTCGTTGAAATACGTCTTTAGCATTTCCATGTTTGTTTCTGATGCCGGCCAGCCAATACCCAACCCTTCTTGCTGGTTCGGTTTGGGTATCTGATCTTCGTTAGACGTATTCACGGTGGAATCTGCCACCAGGACTCGTCTGCATACCATGTGGAAGTGAACCTCCAATGACGAAAAGTCAGTACATCGACTGGAAGTTAACGCAAGGAGCATAGTGATGGAAACATATTACGTGGTCAACCTCTTGATGCGCCAACCTCCCATTATTCTGTAGGATATTGTAGTTCTCGGAGCCCGTCGCCTTGGCCAGCTTTTTAGCTACGGGCTGTACACCAGGTCAGCGTTCGCATGTCTCACGTCGCTGCACCCAAGGCTCGAAGGAAAGGCTTTTGGGGGGGGGAAGGGTGGTCCCATACTAAGATCTCTTCCAACTGATCGTCTGGAATATCCGTAAGCTTCGAACCATGGGCTTTCGGCACGACAAGCTGCACACACGGCCGACATCAGCTCAACCTGCATAAGCGATCCCGGGAGCATAGCAAAGTGAAGACGAACAGCATGGCCTTGGCTCAATGGTTGGATATCAAGGAAGGCGAACACTCGCTCGCTTTCAAAGAGCGTGAATGAGGGGATGTCGCCTTTCGGCCTGTCAGTCAGATTCCTTCAGAGGGTGATAGAGATGATATGGAAGACAGGAGACCTTTGATGATCTTGCAGAAGATACAGGCGGCCATTGTTGTAGATGTGGTGTCAGAAAGCAGAGTGGATGACGAGGGATCAGTGCCGCTTTGCTTGGCATATGCCGAAAGCGGCGAGGGGCTCAAGAACGAGAGTTCGCGTGCTTTTTCGTGTTCTGGCGTGATGGAACGCGTGCTTCCACTCCTTCCAGTGAACTGGAAGAATTATCGATACTCGGTTTGATTTCCCACTGAGCCATGGCTATCAGTAGCTACACCGCTACAGAACTTTTACGAATACGGACTTGATCTCGTGAGCGTGAAAGTAGGCCACATAAATGAGCAAATCCCATTTCCGCAATGGCAACGAGTCCTGCAGTTTACCTCTTCGTTGTCCATCGCAAGAACACCCTTGCACCATTCCGTCGACTTGACCCACGATTTCATTACAGGAGCTTTCACCACCCCTGTGCCCTGCCTTTTGATCAGAATGTACTTTTCAAGATGTACTTTTTAAGAGACCAGCTCTCCACCCAGTTCCATACCAAGGCCGTTTTCTTTATTAATAGATCCTCGCCCAATGTTGCTGAGATTCGGACTTCCGCCTGGGGGCACCAGGCTGTCGAAATTCAGTCTTCGCCTGGCTTCTATCGCTGCCAGAGGTGTCTTGGGCAAGCCAGGGGTGCGACTTCCAAGAAAAGCGCCCTGGGCTGGACTTGGAGTGACGTTGACGAAGTCTGCGAAGTTGAACTGCTGGCCAGGGGTATTGAAGTCACCCATACCTGGCGTAGACATCATGGACGAAGGAAGTGCTTGATTTTTAGAGGGTGGCGTTGAGGGAGCGAATACTCGAGACGATTTAGCACCTGGATTCGCAGGCGAGGGTGATGTGGCAAGGTATAGGAGTAAGTCCGCCCCTTCCTCGCCGGCCGCATTACCCTTGCGCTGGCGCGCAGCGCGGCTTCTGGTGGGAGGAGGTGTGCGAGGAGGTGAAGAACGATAGGCTGATGAACTTGTCCGATGTGAACGTGTTGGCAGATCAGCGTCCTCTTCCTCAGAGACATGGCCGAAAGGAGGCGAGCCGGGAACAGTGGACGCCTTGGATGTAAATGATAGGCTCGGGCCATGAGAGCTCGAAAAGTGGTGGTAAGAGTCTCGGCGATGATAGACTGGGGACGACTCTGGCAGATCATGAGAGCTTTTCCAAGATGACCGAGATGTCTCGAACTGGGGCGGTGCCATAGAAAGCGATCTCATCCGTTTCTGAGGTTTCATTGCGAGGTCAATGGCCGTAGACTGATAGATGTTCCTCTTTCGAGATGTTTTGCTGTGTCCGGAGCTACGGATATCGTCCGAAAACATGGGGCCGGTCAGGGGTGACGAAGCAAGACCACTAGAGAATATTTGATGCTCTGAGGAGCTCGAGGAAGAATTCGAGGACGTTTCAATACTCGAGCCAGGTCTCTTCCGCTTCACAGTCTGTTCAAGGCGGGCTTCAACGTCGTTGAAGCTGAGACTCTCTTGGCCGTGCTGGGCTTTGTAGCTGGCCAGAGCAAGACGATCCTGTAACTTTCTAGCGATCTAGTGTAGGTGGATTTAGCCACATGTTCTGGCTGTCAGGTATAGAGATGATTGTAAGAGACTGCGGCTCTACCTTTGCTACCTCTGCCCTCCTCAGAACCTTGGATACGACCTCTGTGGGAGGAGTTTGCCGAAAAGTTGCCGACATTGCGATTGTGGAAGTGAGAGCAAGGCTGAGAGGTGGGAATGACAAGTGTGAAGTGTTGTGTGATAGGCAATGGAGTAAGTAGTTATGGAAGAAAGTAGAAAGTCGAGGGCGGCTATCTAGTCGAAGGAATCAGGCCGGCCGTTCTGGAATCAGCACTCGGCACTCGACACTCTGGAAAGATGCAGCCGCGGTCACTTTTCTGGTCTGAGGAAGAGAAAGAAAGCAGAGGTAGGAGTTTGAAGGGAAGATGGGAAGGATTGAACGGTGAGTTGCTGTTCTGTATTCAATGTAATTTAATACGGGGTAAGCCTACTTGGTAAATTATGTAGGTACTCTAAGACCAGGAGGAGGTTGGCATTAGGCGTGGACATAAAATTAATGCATTTCATAAAAGCGACACGCGCCTCGAAGAGAATTGACCAGTGAATTGCTTGAAGTTAAGGATCTTCCCGGCTATGCCTCGGCCAGTCAAATTCATGATGACTTGATATGTAAGAAAGTACCTACTTTTAGCCGTGCCGGTGTCATGATAGGGATAGGTATGTACATTACAGTAAAGTACTGATGAGTGATGACAAGATGTGTGTCTCGGACGCTTCTTTTACTTTCCCACGGTTGAAGATGCATCCTGCGTAGAAGAAGGGAACAATCAATAGAGATACCTATGGGTATAGGCTGCCTGGCTGCCTTGCTGCATTGCTGCATTGCTGCATTGTATCTCCCTAAATTTGGAAGGGAATGACAGGATAGGGCTAGTGGTAGATAGTGAGAGAGTTGAAAAGCTCATCATCGGCATTGATGAATGATGATTTGGGCCATGGCTCCGGCGGCAAGGCTAGCTAGGTAACTACCTTACCTTAGCTGCCTTACCATACCTTACCTTAGTGCTACTGCTAGTCTGCTACAGCCTACCTGACTGGTAAAGAGAGAGACTGAGAGTAGAGTACATCCATCGTTCTTGCCTTATTTTCCTTGGAAGGTTTACCTCACAGTCTTTCCATTTTGGCTCTTGGCAGCATTTCTTCCTCTTCCTCTTCCTCTTCCTCTTCCTCTGCTTCTTCTTCTTCTTCTTCTTCTTCTTCAAGCCTTCCTTATCGTTGAGCTTCAATCTTGGGTTTCATTGGCACACTCAAATCACTCGTTTCAAGAACGCCTAGCATCTCTCGGCATGAGCTCCACATCCACTAATTCCACTATACACTCTTCTCCATGAACCCGCTCGTTATCTGGAGGCAAATAGAGACACACATCCTCTTTGGATAGTACGCGACATATTTACAGCCTAGAATGCCTTTCTTCAAGGAATTTCGGCGCAAGAAGACAACCTCTAAGACAGACAAATCCCCAAACAGCTCCAACGAATCAAACGGTTCCAATGGCACCAATGGCACCGTTCCAACCACCAAATCCTCCTCCACTATAAACTCCGTCTATGCCTCCTCCACACCCCCTTCTTCAATACAACCACACCAATCCACTCCAACCCTTGTCACGAGCAAGTCCACCGGCGCAATGACACCATTGCCTCAAAGGCCAATGCCCTTAAGCTCAGTGAGCAACAGAAGCAGTTTCATGGTACGCCCTGCTTCCGTTCGGCAACAAATATGTCACTCAGATGTTGGACGATTCGAGAGAAGCCGAAGAGTGGTGCTGACGTGTCCGTTGCATAGGGACTGAGCACTCCATCCATCAATGGAACCACTACACTTAAGATGCCAGTTTCAAGCTTTGCGCCCCGGATATTATCCATTTCCGACAACTCCTGGGTGGGTGCACTCTGCTAGCAAGACTGAGCACAGTCTGTGAGCTTCGCTAAAAATGCTTGGACAGGTACACCAAAAAGTGCTCCTCGTGTATGGTCAAATAGGTGACCCTTCGGAAAAGACGCTCGACGGTACTTTGACGGTGTGCCATCATCAAGATAGTTTCCCGGCAACGATGTGGCCTGTTAGCGATTCCCACTTCAAAGCTTTGGTCCATTTATCCCCTGGTCCCAACCGATTACGTTTTGACTTTATGTCTCCAAAAGTAGCTTCCAACAACTCCTCTCTACCCGCACATTCTTCTTGGATCAACGTCAACTTCCTTCCGTTGATCAATTCACCACCGCTCCAACTTGTTATACTGCTAGGAAAGGACTCTCCAGCCACTTTCGACGCCGTGCCGGAGCGAAAGCAGAGAGAAGGGAATGATTTGGACATAGCGGTCCGGAAGTTCCGTATGGCGGCATACTTATGGCAAGCGTTCACAGGAGAACAGATGTACCGCAACGGCTTCGGAAGGAGATGCTTTCGATTTGAAGAAGAATGGCAGACTGGATCCTTGACCTTTCGAGACAAAGAGATGGGACAGATGAGGAATGAAGCAAAGGTGCATGTCGTGAGAACAGAAAAGACGGTGAAAGAGCTTCGGGATTTAGATCTTGCACAACAGTATGACAATGCAACTCACAAGGGTGAGCTCTACAGCATTGCGATGGAAGCAGTCAAAGAGCATTTCAATCCCGTCAAAGGGCAAATGCAGTTCATCTCGCTATTGTTGCTTGATGCGCACTGGGATACGAAAGCAAAGACCATCACCGGTCATGCAGCTCTTGGTGGAGGCACTGGCGAGGTGCAGCTCGCAATCTTTGGCTCTCAAGCTCTTCAGAGCTATCCTGCAAGCATTGAGGAGGTAGTCCCTGCTTTCTCTGACTGCACTAGAACAAACACCAACTTTGTTGCGAACGATTGCAACGAATCAGGAAGCAATTGGGAGGCCGCAAACATAGGAATAGGTGCTCACCTTCACGAGACCGGTCACTTGTTCGGCTGCCCTCATCAAGAGTCTGGCATCATGCTGCGGGATTACGTGCGCCTAAATCGAACTTTCCTGTGCAGAGAACCATATTCGACTCGAACGAAATCACCGGGTGTACGACTGTGTCTGCCAAAAGACGAGTGCGGTTGGCACAGGCTTGATGCACTACGCTTCAAGTACCATCCATGCTTTCGATTACCAACAGACGGGCCGCTCAATCCCGACGAGAGCATCCAAGTATGGCCTGCTGATAATGGAAAAGCTCTCATCACGGCCCCCACCGGTGTCTCTTTTGTCGAAATCTTTGCTGAGGGTGACGAGACTTGTCGTGCTTGGCTCGAGTACAGTAGTGGCGATGTTCAGTCAGTCGGTCCGCCGCGACAGATCGTGCTTACCGAAAATGATCTAAAAGCTCGGTTGCCAGAGGACAGGAAGAACAGCAAGAAATTAAGGATCAAGATCTATTCTGCCGGGCAAGGAAGCCATGAAGTTGTCGATTTTAATACGCTCTTGAGGTCAAAAAACCACGTGGTGAAGCTACCAAATGGGCAATTGGGATTCAAGGGTTGCAAGTTAGGGGAGTCTGGGCAGGAAGGCAGTCAACCTGAGCAGGTCATACTCGAAACAGCTCATTTACAAAACAAGCTACTCACATCGATCAAAGTATATCACGGCTTTGCATTAGATGGCTTGGAGTTCTTGTACGAAGATTCAACAAGCCAACTGTTTGGAAAAAGAGAAGGCCAGCCGGGCGGCAGCGAATTCATGTTTGGTACGTTCAAAGCGCACACCGACTTGTTGCAACCAAAAGTTCTTATCAGTCTTAGATACACGACGAGGCGAAATCTTGCTGGGGTTTTATCTGCGAGCTGGACTCTGGATCGACGGCATTGAAATACTGACAAGCCTAGGCAGACGATCAGGTGTTTTTGGTAATCCAAACGGTGGATCTGGGTATGTCTCCTCTGCCCGCACTATATCTATATCCGAGCACGCCTGTTGATTGATCCGTGAACAGGCACACCCTAATACCACCTCGAGGATACTGCATCGCAGGTTTATCCGGCTCGTGCGGTCAATGGGTGGACGGTTTTTCGCTCATCATCACTCGGTAGTAATCCGACCATAAGCATTGGCGAGAATCTGCACAGCATGTTTCGCTTCGGCCTCTTTCATTGTCTTCAATCGACCCTTCAAAGGCAAATATGGACGCATTGCGTGGGTCTCTTTCTGTTGACCACTGGGCACGAGGTCAGAAGTTGAGAAAACCATAATAATAATAGCATTTGCCAGCCAAGGTGAGGGCTCTTGGAGTCGAAAACCAAGAGTATCTATGGCTGAGCGTACGAAGCATGAAGATGTCGCTTCTGCTACGAAAGACAGCTGGTGACGGGGCCCAGAGGAGGCACGATGAAAAACATAGCATGGGGTGACAGGATTTAGACAGCGAAGCTTAGACGCTTATAGAATAATGAAGTAATTTGATACCCAAGCGCTCGGTCCTCGACGATTGCGTTGACCCCACGGGTGACCTGGATAGAATGTTTGACATTCCTTCAAGGATATGGCTACTCCGTCATGGCCTTTTCATCAGCGTTGACGGGTTCGAAGGGACCACAAAGTAGCTTCTTTTGAGAGGATGTGATTTGTCCTGCCGATGAAGGAAGCGGAAGACCATCCGCCGATCAACCGAAGACGCTTTGCCATGGGGCTAGAGTCTCCCGTTGTACTCATGCCAGCTACAGCTATACTGTGCTGCAATGGTACCCAAGTCATCATGTCAATCCACAAGTCTGGCCCGGGAGATATAACCGCGATCGGCATGCTATGAGTGTGTTGAACTTTGGACCAATATCATGAAGCGTATGATTAATCCGTCCGCCGGAAAGCCGAGCCACACAGCCACAGCCAGCAGAGGAGTTGAAAATAATCAAGTACTACCGTAGTATCTCCGACGCGCCGAGAGGACCCTGGAAGTCTCGACACGTTCCAGAGGATAATGATCGGCGGTCTAAGCCACACTCCACGAGGACCTCATGACCGGGGGCAAGAGAATGAACGCCACAGCTAAGGGGTCCCTGCGGGTCCAGCGCTTGTACTCTATAGTACGATTACTCAGAGAGTCGAGGCTTTCCCGAGATGCTGTCGAAAGACTGCGTGCAATGCATGGGTGCACATGGTACCACTTCTCAGCGCTGTTCATCATGCCAGCATCAGCCGAGCACTTCGGTCAAGCCGTTGTGCCCTGGTATGCGCGCTTTCCTCCTTTCTCCTTCTCCCCGTCTAGGAGTAGAGCGGTGCGATTGACTTTTGCGCTTTGCAGATCGAAGCTATCCTTGTGATCCAATCCGTAATAGAACCGTGGTTTCGCCTGATCACCTGGTCTAGAGTACTGGACGGCACTGGTCATGTGCAAATTAATCTTCAACTGAACTTGGGTCTGAGGAGAATGAATTTGTATAGTGCCTGCGTCGATATTCGAGCGGCTAACTTTGGGTATCTTTAAAACAGTCGAGGAACACGTCAAGATGAATAAATACATTGTGTGCGTCAAGGATTATACCAATGGCAATGGTAGCACGAAGAGTAGCTTCCCGCATGTTCATCATAATCATCAACACAAGGACTCGTGTATCGTCTTGCGCTGAACTGTCGGGGGGATCGAAAAAAGAATGCTCGCGTAATGGATACCAATCTAGGGCAAGTAGTAGCAGCTAGTAGCACACCGCTCCAGGAACTGTTAGACACAGGGTTGTACAGCAATGAGTCGATGCTTTCATCTGGCAGTTCTTCAGCAGAGTATGCTGACAGCACAAATTTTTGGGAACCAGCGTTGAGCCGTAGGCTAAGGCGATTTATCGTAGACGTCGTAATGCGAATTGGGGTATCATTCAAAATGAGGTCGAGGCGCAGGTTGTGTATCCTAGAATAGAAGTCTCATTTCCAGAGCCGCACTGCTGGTGCTCTTGGTAGGTGTTTGAGTCGCTTTGGGAGTACTCGCGCCGGAGCCTGCTTCCTGCTTGAAGGCGGTGCTGGCGTTCACTTGGGCAAATTCGACAATCATGTCCTGGCCTTCTGGGAGTTCTCCAACGACCTCATCGTCGACCATGATCTTGAGTCCTCTTGAATTGACTCTCAATGTTCGTGTGACATGTCGAGGGTCGACTCCGCACTTCATGGCAATGCTCGTAATAAGGTCTTTGACTGTCCTTTCCATGAGGTAGACTGCCCTGTAGTAGTCCTCTCCGGCGGTATCACCGATCACTTTGATGAGAACATAAAAGCAAGCGATAGGCTTGATCGGCTTTTCAGCCGGGGCTTTGTAGGAGGGGTCAACTTCAAACGCTTCAATCCAATTCGACATCGACTCGTCAGTGTGCCCTTTTGGCACCTTGATTGCCGTGTTCGAAGATGGAAATCCTGAGAAGTTCGTGCTTGTGAATTGATGTCGAACAAGTTGTTGTTCCCACTCATTCGGCAGGTGCTGGTTTGAATTGAAGGGCGCAGGCTTTTGAAAGCTTGATGGCTCACAAGGCCGTGAATCGGATGGCATAGACCGTGAACTTGGCGAAGGCGAGGCTATGTAAGAGTTGGTGGGTGTCGACTCGCTGAGAGCCTTGCGGTCAGATTGGCCGACTTTGGTCAAGTCTATGGGCTCCCCCGGTAAGGACACTGGGAAGACGTCTGGATCATCTTGCTCATACCCTTTCAGATAGAGTACGCTGACCGGACGAGTCGAAGTGAACATGTCTTGCATCGTCGCAAGCTTCATGTGAAGGTCTTCCTCGACAGGGGGCCGACCATTAGATCCCTGAGATGAGACAGACCAGGTCCTTTTGTGCTTTTGAACTTTGCCAGCTCGATGACTGCCACCTTTGTCGGCGCCACTCCTTTTACGCTTTCCAAGGTCTTTCAGCCCATTCTCAGCCTGAGTGATCTGCTGATTCAACTTGTCGATAGTCTTCTTGATATGCGCAACATCATTCGAAAGCTTTCGTTCTGCGCCGTGATCTCGGAACAGCTTGACTTTGCAGAAGCAGACTTCCGCAGTCGGGGCAGGGGGCGAATCTGGAGTACCAGAAGAGATGATTTCGGTCTTTGCACATAGGCGAACGGGAATGCCTTTGACACCTTTGGAGTGGCTGAAGTCGGTCGACAAGAAATTGAAACGAACGGCTACCGAGCAGTCTGCGCTGCTTGAGCCTGCTGAAGGAGTCCAGGTCACGGAAAAGCAGTCGAAAGAGGCCGCCTCCAGCTCGACACGCGGTCGTTTGGTCTCTTCGTCACCCCCTTGATTTGGATCAACATACTCCACTGCTTGAAGCTTTCCACCCCTCAGATGAGATTCGGCCAAACCTCGTCCTTCCTTCCACAATTGCCAGCAAGCCGAAGGCCGCTGTCTTTGCTGTTCATCTTCAAATGATATACGGATGACGGTTCGATATTTAATCGGGCCAGCTGCAGGGCCGAGACCCATACTATCGCTTATGGACACCGCATATGCTTGGCCTTTATTGAGGTAGGTGACAGGAATCTCGTCCGAGTCTTTGATCATCGCTGTAGGCGCGTTGAGAGTGACAAGATAACGGAAACTGAAAACGGTTTAAACGTTAGTCGATGCATGATGGAATGGGAATCAAGTCGCTTACCTTTCCATTGCTGGCACAGGATGCGCTTGCACGCTGTCTGACTGTCTTGCTGGAAATCCCATAAATGTTGACTCCCTCGGTAGCTCTTCGTCAATGCCTGATCTTTGAGCAGGCATAGCGTGGTTAGGGTGTTCCATCGTGTCATACCCCGAGTCTTGGTGTATGAAAGAACTAGGCGCGTATGATTGTTGCGGTGTGAACCGGCTGGGGTTTTGAAACGGCTGCGAGTGGAGTAGGTGGGTATGGAAACCGTGCATGTCTATTGCGGCTGTTGCATCACTTTGGCCTGCGGAATTAGGGACTGAGAGAGGTGTCCCCAACTGGAATCCCATACCTGGAGTGTGCAAATCACCTGCCTGATTGTTGTGGAAGACAGTGTTCGTGCCTCCAGGAGTCGAACCGAAATCGCTGGATTGGTGGTTTGCGAAGGAAGCAAAGGCGAAGGAATTGGTATCAAGGATGGATGGAGTAAACCTCCAATCGTCGGGCTCGCCAAAACCTGAGTCTTGGTCTTTGCTTGTGTCTTGATCGCCGAATTGTCTGCGACAAAGGTAATAAGCAGGTTGTTAGTCGACGGGTCCATATGGTAGCGGAAAGAGCGGGCCCAACGGTAAGAAAGAACAATGACACGAGGCTCAAAACATTCCATGAGATGACCGAATGAGATTAATCGTCGCACCTCTGATCCATTGTTTGGTCCATTGATGTGCTCGTGAGTGAGGTTGAGGTCTCTAGCGTAGAGTTTGAGGATACTGCCCAGGACGGTGTTGTTGTGGCGGGCCCTACATGAGGGAAGCTTTGTTTGAAGGCAGCATAGAGCTCGTTGGCAGGCTTCTGCGAATTCTTGCTACCAAGGGTAGAGAGAGTCAGTATCATGAAGATAGGCGACGAATGACATTGGAGGGTTGAAGATGAGCGAGCAGTCAGGGTACATACCGATTGCGAAACATGGCATGAGGTGACTTGGTTCCTCAAGAGGCTCTTATAAGAGACTCATATAGAAGAAGAAGCAGAAGACGAGGAAGAAGAAGAAGAAGAAGTGGCTGTGCTGGACGCTTTTAGATGTATGCAGGTCACATCCAGTAGAAGGGCGTCGGAGAAGGTAGGGTAAAATAATGGAGTTATGACAGGGACAAGGGGAATTGGGTAAGGACAAGGTATTTAGAAGGAAGTGCGAACCCGGGAGAGTTTGATAGGCCCAGGTAGTGAAGCGTAGTATGCTTCAAGAGCGTGCGTTGTAATGGACTCGTAAAAGGGATTATACCATAGCGTCACGTGGAAGCGACGAGAGCTAACTGTAATGCATGCTCGATGGAAACGAGTGCCTGGAGGCTTGACCTGGAGCATGGGCATGGGCATGGGCATGGACGTGGGCATGGACGTGGGCATGGTGAACTCCCGAGCGTCAAAGGTTTTATTAGAGTACGACTACCTTTACCTTACCTTACCTTACCTTACAGGAAGATGGTGTGGCTCTAGGATAAGGATAGTGTCAGAAAAGAAAAAGCAAACTAGCAAACTTGCAGGGAGTTGCGCCACAAAGGGGAATACACCGGAGCCACTCTCATTCAGCGCTAAAAGAGGTTCTCAATGTAGATCGCAGCATCTCTAGCTTCCTTGTGGTAGTGGGGCTTCTTTTGACTTTTGGGCCAAGGAATTTTCCTCGCTGCTTCCGTCTCTCCTGTGGCTTTCTCCCATCCCCCCCTGCAGCAGAAAACCCGTTCATCTTTCCCTTCTCTGGCAACTCCTTCTCTCGCTAAAGCATTGCGACCGTGTGTCGGTGACGACGTGCCTCATCGTTCATGTGGCGCTTCTCTGCAAATCCCTCATCCTCAGCCACACTTCTCTCCCGCTCTGGACCCTGAGACGAGGCGCTTGAGAGTGGTGATGTGGCAGTACTCGGAGGTCACAGGTGAAGCGATTAGTCCCTCTCTGCTGTAGCCGCGTGTCCGATGATGGTACCGGCAGTATTGGCTCTCGAAATTTGCCAAGCGCCCATAGGTTCGCGAAGCCGATGCACTTTCATAACAATAATACCACTGTCAATCATAATAATAATAACAATAATGCAGTCCTCTGAACCATTTCAGGGGATTGGCCCCCCCTTCACCAACCTCTAACCGAGATGAGGTGATCCGAATGCGTGCACAACCCCATCTTACGACATATTACTATTATTTGACCTGTATATTGTTGTTTCACCCGAACATTCCCATACCTCCCTGCATGGCAAATAGGGCACCGACATAAAATTGGGTTCCATGACAGTGTCGGCGCATACAGAGAGCATGGGCCAATGGAATAACGGAGATCCCACCCCCCCAAGCACCCCTGAAGCTGCAGATAGCTGAATCCCGGGTTGTTTTTGCATCACATAGATGTAGCCGGGGGGTCCAACGATCCAGTATCGGTACGGCTTTACTCTTGCGGTCTTGCGTTCGCGTCATGGAACTCTGAGAACATCGTTGCCAAGCTACATCAAAAGGAAGCTCCAAACGCCGATCGTGCTGTCTTTTCGCGGGAAAGCCCTTGGGGAAGCGATCTCAGCCACACTCCGCGTCGTTTCTCCGATTGGAGAAAAGATCGGGAAAATATTTGCACAGCCACAGTACTCTTTGTTCGTTTACAGAATCTAGAGCAAAGACGATCACCTTAAAAGAAACCACAGTAGATGTAATAATAATATCCAGAGACGATCAGTAGGGAGATCATGAGCCATACTCGGCCGTGAAGGTCGCGAACCTCCAATGATCGCTGCCTCAGCAGTCCCCACAGAGACAATGCAAAGTGGTTCCCCATATCTTTCAAGTATAAGAGATATCACCCTATAGTCCTGGGGTCTTTCCTTCCGGGGCCAATGAATCACATTCTGGAGGGAATAGTGAAAGCGTTTTATAACGTGCGAGGAGTCATGCATCCTATTGGACGACAAGACATGTGAATTTCCGTTCACGAAATAGCGGTATCTGCTTAATTGATGCCAGGTGAAGAAATTATGTGTGGGAAGGAAGAGAGCAGAAACACTCAAAGGCTCAAAGCGTTGGGATGACAGAAACAAAGCTGAGGTACCTTCGCAAATGGTCGTGTGTTGCTAGCTAGGTAGCAAGTAGAAGAAGGAAATATGAAACCGCTCCAAAAGACGAATTAATCGTGAGCCTCAAGCCTCGCGAATCTGTCAATGACGTCCTACTCCAAAAACGAAATGGAATAAGTTACCGTAGGAGCATCGAACGTCGAGCTTGACTCTTTACCTTGAGGCTTTGGCTCTTCGGGATGCAACGAGATCAGACTTGAATTCTCTACAGTTGTATTTACGCTCAAAATCACAAGCTGCGCAATCGTGGTTCGATCTTTTCGGCTGGTCTACCATCAGATGCCATTGTGGGGTTCAATCTGCGCTGGAGTACTTGCTAAGTACTCAAATGTATTCTTGACTAGTTGTGGCGAAATACTGAGTTGATTATAAAAAAGAGCGATAGGTTAGTAGTATTCGGAGAGAGAGAGAGAGAGAATAATTAAAGGAATTGGGAAGTAGTAGTAGCAAATGTAGACTGTAGAGACGCATCGTGTTGCTATCCAATCCAACGCGAGAATGGCTCCACGGGTCATTCAACCCACAACAGACAACAGTGCAGCAGGAAGGTCCACCGACTAATTCATAGTATTAATAACCTCGCTGGCTATACAGTAGTTTGTCGATACCAAATGCACTGAGGGTTCGAGGTCAAATCACAATTCGATGTGCAAAGACCTACTCGGTAAGAATAAGATAAAAAATCACTCAAGACACCATAGTAAAAAGCAGGGCCAAAGAGAGCGCAAGGAAGTTGCTGTTAGCGTGGCTCGCGCTTTACCATTTACTAGGTAAAGTACCTACCACTTAGATTGGGGCCGAGGTGCCATCTACTTACTTTACTCGATTTAGATAGATTAATCGTCATTCAAGATATTGGTGACGATCGTCTCCTACAGCTCCCCAGACCCTCCACCCCGCAATACTGAACAGCAACGCGGCCCTCTACTCTACCCACAGACGGGGACAACCCCCCCCCCAACACCAGGCCCGTCAACATGACTTCGCCCTCTTCCGGGGAATCTCCCTCGAACAAAGCCAAAGCATCGCCCGCGCCGGCACCGTCTCCTGCGACTTCCATCGCATCCACGGCAGATACTACTACGACCTCAAGACCCGATGCATATATCTCCGAAAAATCTGATGACAGCTCAAAATTGAGGATTCTTCTGAGCATACTGCGAAAGTGAGTTTAGAGAAAAGGGTCTGGGCTTGACCTATGGCCCGTTCTCCATCCTCCATGACAGAGTGAGGTCTCTAGATTACCTTAGAGCTGCTCACGGTTCCTCCTAGGTTCATTGGCGTGTCAGATATCGCCTCAGTCAGATTCTCTTTACCCGCCCAACTTCTCGAACCCACACCAAATCTTGGTACGAAGACCGCTGTAATTCACCGACCTCGCCATGGGTCACTTGTGGCGACGTCTACTAATGCATTCTCCAGAATACTGGAACTACTTGGACCGGCCAGAGACATTTGTAGCGTATGCTGCTGCCTCCGTGGTGCTTTCAGTACCTGCTGACGCCCCCATGCAGCATCGGCGATTCTAACGATGGTCTTGGCCGAATGCTCGAGGTGCTCCGCTTCTGGTTCACCAAAGATTTGGTGCGTGTTCGCTGCTACAGATCGTCCAAGAGCAAGAAGCTCACGGGGTGCATAGAAATACGTCAAAGGCAAGCCGTGCAAGCCCTACAACTCTACACTGGGAGAGTTCTTTCGGGTATGTGAAGCGTCTCAAGCCTATACTGCAGCACCCAATGACCTGGTCACCAGTGTAACTGGGAAGTCGAAGATAACGCCCCACCAATACTCGGCGAGACGCACAAAGAATCTGCTACACAACATGTCGACACCAAGAACAAGCAAATCAGAGTATCGTATATCACTGAGCAAACTTCGCACCATCCTCCTGTATCCGCATTTTTTGTCGATTGCCCTGTGAAAGGTGTCAGCGCCCGCGGTTTCGATCAGCTAAGCGCCAAATTCACAGGCACCAGTATCCGAGTCACACCGGGAGCACATAATCTGGGTATATTCATTAACTTGAAACACCGAGACGATGAAGAGTATCAGCTGACTCATCCAATCGCACATCTTGGAGGTATGCTTCGAGGCTCTTTGTCCGTTACGGTCGCGGATAGCTGCTTCTTGACGTGCCGCAAAACCAAAATGAAAGTCATCCTCCACTACCTTGAGGAGAATTGGCTGGGCAAGACACAGAACAAGGTCAACGGCGTAGTATATACCTACGACCCCGAGAATGACAATAAGACGCGCATCAAAGACGTCCCGGAAAAGGATGTTTTGGCACGACTTGATGGCTGTTGGCACGACCAAATATTCTACACACTACAAGGCTCGAAGGTAAAGTTCCGCTTCTTTCGGATCTTCTGGCAACAAAAGTCTAATCATCTATCTTTATGCTAGGATTCTTCGGTCTTATTGGACCTCAGACCCCTTTTCCCGACCGCCAAAATCATTCCCCCTGTCGATCAACAACTTCCAAATGAATCCCAGCGTTTCTGGGCTGGCGTCACAAGTGCGATAAAGAGCAAACAATACACGGAAGCGACCAAGCTTAAGCAAGAGATCGAAGAACGGCAACGCGACAAAGCCACCCAAAGGAAAGAGAAGAACGAGGAGTGGAAGCCAAGGTTCTTTACTGACGCTGTTACTGCTAACGGGAAGCCTGATCTGACTGAAGACGGAAAGAAAGCTCTCCAGGGACTGCAGGCCGAAGATTATGGCCTGCGAGACAGTGATGTTACTGGTGCATGATGGATGACGGCTTCGAGAGACGTTGTTCCCTGGGACTCGGATTTGTGCATGCATGGTCGCGTCTTATGAACTTGTGCCGCATTTTTGGCGTGTTGGGATGGGAATGGTTTAGGCGCAAGTGCAGCGAATTTTATGTGGGGTCTATCATAGAGTCTAGATTCGAATACATACCTATATCCTTTTACTTCGTGCGATCCCGTCATTTTTTGGACACGCCTTTCTCTGCTGTCATAGAAAGGGAGAACTCCATGCATCCCAAACATGCTTAACGTCGAGCGATGGGTGAACGCCAGGGCTTAGCAACATGTCATGGCGCTCACCGCTAGTTTGCCAGAATGTTCGGGATTTGCTACTCCTGACCATGTTTAGGATCGTGCAAGCCTTAGCCAGGGGACTGACCCGCTGGAAACCTGGGTCACGATCCAGTACTAGCTTCCCGTAGAACTGAGGAGTTCCCTTGCTTGCCGGTCAGAGAGTCGCTTTATCAGCTATCTGCCAACTCTCATGTTGACATTGTGCAACCTTTCCCTCACCCTCCAGCTTCCGCAAGACTTGCACTACACCGTTAGCGGCTGGCACATGCAGATTGCTTGGCACATCTTTATACACGGCTTTCACCAATTCCAATGACGTCGCCTCTTTCCCAATATCCCTGAGTGCCTGCAAGATCTCCTCTTCTCTCTGCTTTCTGTGTGCGATGTATTCCTCAATCCGAGTCCGTCCATCTTCTATTACTGCACCCTGCGCACATGTTGGAGTCAGCGTGTTGCCTCTTCAAGGCAAAATCCCTAAAGACTAAAATAGCTTTCTTCTCCCCAAACATCTACTGTGACTCGGTATTCGGGCCCAGAGAGCAACAAAACACTCTGAAATGGACTTACATGACCCGGGTAGGCTCTGCCGTGGAATTGCTCCCGCATGCGTGATAGGCTGTCAAGATACACGGCTAAATCCTCAAACACTGCTGTTCCATGTCCCAGGACATTGTCGCCTGTGAACATTGCGTTCTCCTCTTCCAATACGAAAGCCATATGGTCCGCAGTGTGGCCAGGGCAATGGAATGCTCGCAACTTAGCTCCTTCTGTCTCAAAGATTTGGCAGTCATAAATCGGTTTCTGTCCGCTTGCCGGATCATGCTTATAAATTGTTGCCTTAGGACAAAAGGAGAGGAGGTCTTTCACGCCGCCAACGTGGTCAGGATGCCAATGTGTAATGATAGCTTGAGATATCGTGGTGGATTCCGATATGAGAATCGAGGAGAGGCAGTGAGACCAGGAAGATTTGCCTTCGCCAGTGTCGAGCAAGAGACGGGATGGGCCCCTACCCACAAGATAGGTGTTCGTTCCTTCGCAAAATCAGCACTTGCTAAAATGATGCCCGCAAATATCTGACCCTGCAAAGTGAATTGGCCAGCGTTGCCTCCTAGGATCCTGATAATCAAAGGGCTGATTCGTTGAACCTCTGGTATCTGAGGCAATTGAGTCGCCATCGACATCAATTTGGTTGGGCACCGAAAGAGAGTTGGCAAAACAACTGCGCAGAATGGCATAAATAAAGTAAGTTACAATCTAGTTCATTCGAGGTCGCTTTAGCCTCGGCTTCGGGATCTTGACGTTTCTCCCTCTCTAGCTCGCAGCTTCAGCGCCCAAACCCTGTCAAAACATCTTCCAGTTTTTGCTGCTTTGATGCTCGTAAGGTTGGCTTTTGGTAAGACATCTTGATGCTTGGTGCAATGTTCTGACTCAACGGTCTCTTATTTGGGAACTTAAAGGTGTCAACCCGCTCACGGTAGAATGACCTCAAGCTTTGATCTCCTGTTACGTCGACCAGCGCGTCTGGTTGATTGGCTCCTATGGACATGTGCAGTACTGGGATTGCATCAATGGCCTCCACACCTTCAGCCGTCAATGTCGTCTTGCTAAATGCTCCGCCAAGTTGAAAGCTCGCGTGAACTATCGAATCCCATCCAGCGCTAGTCGCACCGCCTTTTACGAGCCATTCGCTGAGGTCTTTTCCCGTTTTGTAATTCCATTTATGGTTTTGCGCCGCTTGTCTGTGTTTGGGACCAAGATTGCAGTCCTCGACATTGAATACCGATAGCGCCGGGAATTGGTTGAGATGGGCGAAGACGTTGGCAGTGATGTCCTTTTGCGAACGGCAATTGAGGACTCGGAGTATTCTAAAGGCATCTGTTGATGAAGCACTTCGTCCCCAGCCTCTGATGATGCCTTCAAGTTTCGCGAATCAGTACTGCTTCTTTGCTGTGGAAAAGGATTCACAAAACAAGGCCAATGAGTACGATACTCTCGACACGTGTATCAGAACTCAGGTCAGGGTAGAGATTACAAAGAGATCGCGCCGAAATGAAGACGTACTGTCGTCGAGCCCAATGTCTGGAGTGGTAAATTTCCGTCCGATAGTCAAGACTCCGAGGTTAGTAAGCTGGGAAATCTGGACAAGATCGGTGCGGGACTGGCTTACAACTTTGGAGTCAGTAGTGCCTCTGAAGGGGTGCATTGAGCCTTGAAACATGTCTACAAAGTAGACAATCCCATGGCATGTCCCAAGACCCAACTGTTCATCCGAAATAGGAAAGATGGATTCCGGAAATACGTACGCAGGTGACGTTGCTCAGCGACAGGAAGGTCACCCAATGATATAAGGGTGAGATAAGAGAGGCGACATAATCGCCGAGTTTCATGTTGGGTCTTGCTATGACATGATGCTTTCGTTTCAGGGCATCGATGCCTTCATTCGGATACGCAACAGCAAAAGCCTTCCAGACCTTCACGCTGACTAGTTGTCTGTGCAAGTCCTCTTGTCAGCCTTATTTTGTGCCAGTCAGGAGTCAAAATTGAGCCTACGAAGCGACGAGTCTTTCCCAAAGCAGACTTGCAACCTCCCAAGGTAGCCCCTCAAGACTCTCGGCAGTGATATTGAATGAATGACTAAGGGCGCTTCGAATGGCCATGTTGGCGAGTGATGAACATCCAGGACCTGATGATCTGAAGCATGCCGCTTCCCTGGAGCTACCCTGAGTTTTCCATACCCAGTCTAAGGTCATAGGTCCTCCTGGACATGAAACCTCGGTGAAGACTTGGCCGGACTCGTCATGTTTGATGGTCCCATTGATGGTTCTATGGTTTGAGCCATGGTAGCTGTTGGGTGCAATGAAGACACCAGTTCTCATGAGCCCCTTCTTCATGCTTCCGTAATCGTAATCCGGGGGACTAATTCCTCCAAAGGATGGCAGAAGATCAAGACACCATGTTTCCGCAGAGCAAACACGGTGTGAAGCTATAGCACGTGACAGGCGCGCTTCGAGACAAAGTAGCGGTAAAAATCTAAGACATTGAATAACTCAATAAGTAGCAAAGCGCGTGCATTACTGTATCCGACATCCTGGCTGGACATGTCAGAATCTCGCCAAAAAGACGCGCGACTGTTCATTTTCGATAAAGTGCGCTAAGATAAGATACCATACCGTATCCCGTACGCTACACTAAACCCAGATCGTCCTCTATTCCCTCGGTTCCTTATTCTCAACAAAGACTTTGTACATACCTGATACCTCCTTTCTTCCACGTCAAAGATGACGAGTGACAGAGCTCTTGGACTTGACTTGGTATCATGTTGAAGAAGCCAAGCCTACTGCTCCCAAATTACAGCAATTTGCACTGTCTTTACTGCTCTCAATCAACTCCCGTCCATACGTCAACATCATCTCCGAAGTCGCAACGACCAAGGTACTCTCATCCGAGGAAACTAGCGTTCCGATGCTTTGCAACTGTTCGCTCGGACATTCACCATACGGGTTCACCTCAAGACCCATTTTGGCCTGATCTACCTTTGCCCAATGCAGTGCCGACTCCGTATCAGATCTTCAGACTGAAGAAAGACTCGCCATACTCGAAGCGCAGGTTTTACGAACTCGTCAAAGTCTATCATCCGGATAAGAATGACCACGAGTCCGGGTCCTCCGATACAAGTGATCTACCTGGGTCAATAAGGATGGAGCGCTACCGTCTGGTAGTCACTGCCCACGAGATCCTTTCAGATCCTGTTAAACGGAGCGCTTACGACAAATTTGGAGCCGGTTGGAATGGCCAGCCAGATCATGGAGCCCCAAAATACCACTGGGGGCAAAACAATGATAAAAGATGGTCCGGCTTTGACACGAATGATTCCCCATTCAGGAATGCAACTTGGGAGGATTGGGAAAAGTGGTATCAGAGGGACAAAGCCAAGCAAGAGCCTGTCTATTTCTCTAATGGCGGATTCTTGATGCTTGTGCTCGCGGCCGTATTTCTCGGTGGCTTCGGGCAATCTATCCGAGTTGGAGAGAATATGTTCCAAAGGCAAGTTGAAAAGGTTCATGATGATGCCAGCAAAGCAATTCGACAACGGAGGACAGAGTCCCAAGGATTCGGAAATAGAGATGAGAGGTTACAAAGTTTCCTGAGAACGAGGGATCCACACGGCTACGGGGTTACAGACCCGCTGGAAGAAAGCTATCGGAAGCTCCTGCAACAGCCGGAGATATGCATGAGCGACGTTATCAATCAAAGAGGTCATGATCATGGTCAGGAATCAAAGTCGTGAGGGTTTCTTTTCGAAGGTTGCATTTGAGATTGTTGGGGGAAGGCCTGCAATGTCAGAAGGTTGCATTCAGCGAATAGGGTGGAATTCAACAGCTTAGACAAACTACATAAAGAGTACAGAAAGTCGGGATTCACAGGGACGGCTCTGCATTATGCCATCATTACCCAGAAAGTGGCTTATTATATACCCAGAAAAACAAAGTGCAAACTTCGTTGATCTGATTATCACCTTTCACTTTCTCGTTCCCTACATATAATGCTACCTTTGCACAAGTCGCTCAGATTGTACTCTACTGAAAGCTCCTGCATTTGAGGGAGTTCAGTTCTTCATCTACTCTTTAGGTCATAGTCGCTCAGATTTCGAAAGGAAGTGATAGCGCTCGCACAGTTGGCTGTGCAAGGTATGAGTATTGAAGATAAAGTAGCCATGAAAACGGACATGCTTTGGCGGACTTGCCCCAAATGATAGTGCAATCTGAGATTGCTGAAGTCAAGACTTGATGTCCACAGTTTTTTCAGACTGGTACACAGACCCCTTTCTTCGGCAGCATTTGATTCATGACGGAGAAATATGACCGCTCGGCGACAGGCTAACTTGAGACGCCCCCAGACGCTACAAGAACGCACGAATCCTGAAAGAATCATCTGCCTTTCGCTTCCTTCACGATGAATTCATTGGGAGGTTGCCCTTGGGAAACTCCCCAGGCACGTGCAACTCGCTAATTGTAGCTACACGGCTTCCCAGCGAAGGTCTACTTGCCAGGTCTTTAATGGGTGACGCTGGATCAGAGGCATGTGAGGTCGGGTCGCCTATAGTTGGCGAAATGCTTTGATTGGCAGTGTCATTCGTGCTACTAGAGGCGAACGGGAAAGCGGCAAAAATGGCTCCTTGGACAGGCGGCTGTCCTGACTCCTGAGGTACCGGAGCGGAAACTTGAGTGGCAGCAGGAGTAGTCTGCAGGCCGGGCTGGTCTTCGTGAGCAGCTGGCTTTATTTCTTTACCATCGTGTCGGTAGGCTTCGATCCCAGCAGCACCAACTGCTGCACCCCCTGCTCCGGCCAGCCAGTCGCCGTACTTGCTATCATGTCTTTCCACATTGAGGGGCAATGATCGTGGTGTAGGTTCAACCTGTTGATGATGATAGGTGACAGAACCTGGATCATCCGATGAACCGATACTCTGAGCTTGTTCAGGTGAATTATGGTCCTTAACGCCAGCTATTGTGGCCCAGTTCGATCCCTTCTGCAATGGTAGGCCTTTAAGGCCCTGCTTAGATGGCATTGGAGAGTATGAATCCATTGCCAGTGGCGCTGCAGATGCACCGTCTAGCTCTCCTCTCGCGGGGTTCGTCTCATCATAACCAACCTGCATCTGCTGCCCCGAGCTACCAAAAGGAACACCAGATTCCGAGAGTGCGCTGGCAGCAGCAACTATTTCTCGGTCACCTGTGGAGCTCGACGGACTAGAAGGGGAAACGGGCACTTGTGAGTCTCGATTGATCTTCAAAGCACTCGGAAAACGCCCACCTGGATTAGGGCGCTGTGGGAGCTTTTCCACTTGGGGTGGTATTTCGGCTTGAGAAGCGGTTGCAGAATATGGGACTTCGTCTGCTTCATCCTCATCCATACCGCCATCGCTGCTGATAGAGCCTGCTTTGTGGCTGCCTGCACTTACACTCCGTGCATGGGACCTTCGAATGAATTCTTTGCGTTCCGCGCCAGTCTTTTCAGTTAGACTTTTGATGTCGGAAAACCAGGCGAGCATAGTATCAAATGACTCGGCTCTGAATACCCATGCGTGTCCTCGATGCATACCGCCACTCTGACGTCCTTTGAGCATAAATTTGTGGGAGGTGGAGTCAGCGTTCGAATGTGAGCCGAGTTTCTGGTCTGCGAGTGGCAGAGACATGACTGGCGCTTGGCTAGATATCCGGTCTGGAGATTTGAACTCATGAATATGCGTGGTAGATAGCACATACCTATGCGAGGTCAATGAAAGCATTTCAAATAGGAGTTCAAGAAGATCCCTACCATCCAGGCGTATAACTTTTCAAGTACTTACTCTTACGCTCAAGCATTCCCGCCTTGACTTCTGAAGCAGCCGCATCATCTTTACCCGGATACGTAATGTTCTCCACTCTGCGTACTGGGAGCCTGGGATCTACGAAATGCTCATTGTTGTCAACAAAAGCGTTCCATTCGAAGTCTTTCGGGATAGCCAAAGGACCGCTTCGGAGTCTTTCAACGGTCTCATACGCCTCATCTGCTTCTCTTTTGATGATTCCAGCATACGCGCTGTATGCTTTCTGGATCTCTCCCATGACAATCGACTCGAGCTCTCGACCAGAGCTTTCCAGATTCAAGAATGCCTGAACAGTCAGCATGAGCTCTGCATGAAAGCTTCGCATTAACATACCCTATGCAGATAGTTCTCTTCTTCGATCTGTCTCCCCAATTGTCGGTCAACTCCAAGTCTGAGTAAATAGGGGTCGTTCTTCGCGTCCGTATTTGCAGCACCTAAAGCGTCTTGCAAGTCCCGTACTGCTCTCCTAGTACCCTCAGTCTCCTTGTCTACGCCGTTTTTAAAGTCACCAGAAAGGCCTTTTATCTCCTTGATCTTCTGGCCCAGATCACTCCGAAGGCCTGTGAGCTGCACGATTACCTCTTCCTCAATGGACTTGGCCTTATTGCCCTCCGTTATCGATTGCTTATGGAAGTCTCTTAAAACATATATAGCGTCACTGATTCCTCCTTCTGATACGAAGTGGGGAGGAGTAGGGATGTTCGTAATGACATTTGAAATTGTATAGAGAGATTTGGAGCGGGCGTCGTAGGATTTTTGGATGTCCCGAAAGTAGGTGATCAGATCTTTGAGCACCTTCCGCCAAACTGACGATTAGACGTATCAGCACATGTCCTTTTTGGAGCTGCTCCATATGATCTGCAAAACGAAACCTACCTTGGAACCTGTTCGCTAAGATCTCTGTGGGGCTTCCAGTCGTGGGTACAGGGGTGAAGAAGGCGCTCGTCATCTCCGATCCGTATCCACCCACATCATCTGCGAAAGTCAAGCTTTTCACGCTCGCTGGGCGACTGTCCTTCCTGCTTCCGCTTCGCTTCAAGCTATTCTTTCTACTGAGCGACTGTCGCTTTTTGAGGGTGCCCCCGCGCGAGGGCGTCAAAGTCTGTGACTGGGACATGGTGGAAGTAACGTTGTGAGTGTCGCTGTCCCCAGCTGTAGAGGACCCTGGGTGACCGACCATGGCATTTCCGTCAAGGTGAACAGACTGGTTGTGCAAGTTCGAGTGTGCAAGGGGATCGGATCCACCTTGGGCGAATTCTGTTGCTCCGACCTGCCGCTGAGCCATTCCACTATGAAGGTTTCGTCGTCAGTCCATGCCAGCTCATAAGACTTTTTAGGGGCACCGATTGGGGGGAAAACCCCTCGGCACTGCTCCCGAAACATGTCATGCGACCCAGATTGCGGCCTTGATTCAGGAAATTCTTGCTCCAGAACGTACATACCAGACGCAAAGATGACTGTGGAAGGGTAAAATATATTGAAAGGATAAGAGCGAGTCAACAGGCTCTGTTTATGGCGCCGGGTTATTGTCTAGCTGTAGCTGACGGCTAGTAGAGAGAATGAGAAGGGCGTGAGGATATGAGGATCGAGTAGTTCTTCTTGGACAAGCACTTTGTTGCAAAGCTGGTCGAAGCAGCTTGTACGATTTCATTAATGACGCACGAGGCTTAGGGGTGGCTGCTTGGGAGAGCCAGTTCGATGAATTGGGCACAATAGGAATCGAATTGTAGATTTACGGATGCCCCGGCTTACTGGAAGAATTGGTGAATGTTGCTACTCCAGCTATTAGGATCCCTGAGTAAGGAATAAGGAGCAAGGAAGTTTCAGGAAAGATGCTGCAAAGAGTGAATCTTGATACCATTAATGGAGTATAACATTAAATACGTCCTCATGGTGAAGTACTAGTACCCTACGAGCCTACCACCTTTGTTGACTAGGTTCAAAAAAGGTTCCGGCGAACGTCATCCCTCAACACACGCAATACATGGGTACCTACTTTAACGTTGTACAATACAGTAGCAGCCTCAAATGCCTTCTTCCAACAACCCCGGCTTCTACTTCTACTATTGTTCAATAAATTGGTAAGAAATTGCATGTCAATACTTGATTTGAGAATTTGGGAAGATTGTCTGTTTTATTTCTCACAGTCATGTTGCGACCGTTGGATCAAAGCGTCTGTTCTGCCAGTTTTCTCTTTTCACTGAGACAGCCGGTGCTCAGACCAAGATCCCATATTAGATGGAGTTGGTGAGGCGCCGTTCCTTCCTGAGAGCCTTCAACTTCCGGATGGCCTCGGCCAATGGTATCAATTCCCCTTTCGATTGCGTTTCCTGGTCATCACGGTTGCGAATATTCACAGAGCGCGATTCCCTTTCTTGGGCTCCCACCACTAGTTCATATCAGCTGAATCACTGCTATCAAGAGCCTTATCGAACTTACCGAAGATGAAATTATACTGTGCCAATTGCCCAATAACGATCTTCTTCTTCATCGTATTCCCGCTGATGTCAATGTCCGCGTGCATCTTCTGAGCTCTGAGTAACTGCTGCACCTCCTCGACATAATCATTGACTGTTGGCATGACTGGAATGACCAGGACCTGTCGCGGACTTAACCAAAAAGGCCATTTCCCCGCAAAATGCTCAGTTAGGACGGCCATGAACCGTTCAAAACTTCCAACAATCGCACGGTGGATCATGACGGGACGAGCACGTCCAGGGCCAGGCGCTTTTGGTTTGCTCGAGGAGCCAGCAGAACCGTCTGGCTGCGCGTCCACTGACTCGTTGGCTTTGGCCTTCGAGCCCGTCTCCGCGGTCATGTATTCTAATTCGAAGTTTTGTGGAAGCTGGAAGTCGAGCTGGATGGTAGCGCACTGAAAATCTCGCATCAAGGCGTCGGATATTCCAATATCAATCTTGGGTCCATAAAAGGCACCATCTCCCTCATTGAGCTCCCATTGCCCACCGCCGGACGCTGTGAACTCATCTAGAGCTTCTTTAAGTTTAGACTCTGCAACATCCCAGGTCTCGAGATCTCCGAGGTACTTCTCGGGCCGCGTTGAAAGCTCAAGCTTGAACGGGAACCCAAAGAGCCCGTAGATACATTTGAGGAAATCGAACAGTCCCTCAATTTCTTGCGTTATCTATCACAAAGTCACTTCGTGCGTATAAGAAAATACTGCCAAGTTGCTTACCTGGTCTTGAGTACAGAAGATATGGCTGTCGTCTTGCTGGAATTTTCGAACTCTGGTCATGCCATTGAGGGCACCAGACGCTTCGTTTCTATGCAAAACACCGAAGTCGGCCATTCTCAACGGTAATTCACGGTAACTCCGTTCCCTATGACTGAACATGACACAGTGTCCCGGACAGTTCATTGGCTTCAAAGCCCATTTTTTCTTCTCGATTTCGAGGCTGAACATATCGTCTTGATAATGCTGCCAGTGGCCAGACCTTTTCCATAAGTCAACGTCATACATATTAGGAGATTGCACTTCCTGGTATCCACGTTTTTGGTATTCGGAGCGCAGTAATTTCTGGAGAGCGTTGAAGATGATAGTCCCATGCGGCAGAAGAAAAACATTGCCGGGAGAGACTTCATCAAAGAAGAACAGTTCTTGCTCGGCACCGATCTTACGGTGATCTCGCTTAGATGCCTCTTCGAGGAACTTTTTGTGATCTGTCATGTGCTTCTTATCCGGGAAAGCAACGCCGTATATCCGTTGCAGCGAATCGTCGTCCTTATCGCCTCGAAAATAGCATGAGGAATTCTGAGTAAGTCATCTGTCAGCAGTGTGTCTCATTCACGATCATTTTCACCAACCTTCATGATCTGGAATGCCTTAATTTTTCCGGTATTTTGGATGTGAGGCCCAAGACATAGATCCACCAAGGTTCCACACTTGTATACAGTGCTTCCTTCGGGAGGTAGTAAATTTTCAATGTAGTACATTTTGTATTTGCTGTAACCAAACATTTCTTTCAAGTCCGGAATCGACACGTGCAGTCTCTCAAAGGGTTGCTTCTCTTTGAAGAATTGTGTCGCTTTTTTTTCCAGGGGTGCCCAGTCTGCCTCCTTTACCACTTGTCTGAGACTCGTCAGCGCGTTATTTTTTACTCGTCATCGAGTGGCTAGCCTACCCTTCGGCTATAGCCATATCGTAAAAGAACCCTTGTCTGACGGGCGGACCATGTGACAGCAGGCAGTTGAATTGGCACTCGCAAGCTTCCCCTAAAACATGGGCGCTGGAATGCCAGAAGACCTTTTGACCTTCGGCAGTGGAGAAAGGAACATAGCTGACCCGACACCCATACTCCAATGGCCTATCAAGATCCCAGAGCTCCTTCCCGTCCACTTTTGCAATGACAACATCGCTACTAACATCCTTATCCACATGCTTAAGAAATGACCCTGGAGTAGACTCCCATGCCTTTGCGGCGACGGGCATTGCCGCTCTTGGTTTGCCCTGCTTGTCTGGTCCAAATTCCAGGACAACGTCGATCTCTGGTTTCTCCTTCTCCAGGATCTCCGCATGACGTCGGCGCTTGAGCTTGTCAAACAACTCGTTGCGTCGTAGAATAATATCTGGGAGCGAGGCAGCCATGGCTTGATTCGCCGCACTTCTTGAAGGTGATCCGTTTTCTTTAGAAGAGATATGGGAATTTGGAGCGTCCTGAGGCTGTAAATGTCCAGCTTTGGGGCCGTTCCTGGAGGTTTTCCTGGAATGCTTAGATTTGGGACTCTGAGCATTGGGCTCCGGCAGTGGTTGTGCAGCTTCTAATTCACTCTTCGAATACTGTTGGGCATGTGGAGATGCGGGACCTCGAGCATTTGGGGGATTGGATCGCGGTTCTGCGGCAGGGTCACTCGCTGCTGAACGGAGTGCCAGATCATTGCGTGACTCATAAGATCCAGCAGCTTCTCCGTTCGCTCGAGTTTCCATTGCTGACTGCTCCATGGCGCGTTGAGTCACATTCGGCGTGGAGTACGATCAAGCGAGGGTATTGCCGAAAAATACTAGCGGCTTGGCATTACCAGGAACACAGAGGAAGCCAACAAATCCTTCGCCCGGAAGAGCATCGTCAATATCAACATGTCTTTCCGAGGTGCACCCCGAGGACGAGGAGGTAGCTTCGGTGGAAGTCGAGGTGGAGCCGGAGCGCGAGGCGGTATGTCAGACTTCGGTCCAAGCTGCGCAATGCGACTTGGACGCTGATTCCATGTGCGAACAGGTCGCGGCGGTTTTCAGCAGTCATACGGACCACCAGCAGTTGTGTTAGGTCCGCTGATCTCCTTGAGAAGTGTGGCACCTACTAACTGACCGCACCTAGAGATGGGATCCTTCGTCCATGCATGCGAAGGCGAGATGGTCTGCGAATCTGTCAACCCAAAGCTGCCATACTTTAACGCCCCAATCTACCTCGAGAACAAGGTCAGTGCTTAGGACACCACCTCACATCGTGGGAACTAAGGACTCTTTAGACCTCAATTGGCAAAGTCGACGAAGTTCTGGGCCCAATAAACCAGGTTTTCTTTACCATTAAGCCGCAAGAGGGTATCGTTGCAACATCATTCAAGGCTGGAGATAGATTCTACATCGGAGGAGATAAACTTCTACCACTGGAGAAGTGCGGACGTCTTCAGTTGATTTTAAGGAGCATACGCTGATTATTTTCAAGATTTCTACCAAAACCCAAACCACCCCCAGGTGCATTGAAACCAAAGCGCGCAGGTGGTGCTTCAAGAGGTGGCCCTATACGTGGAGGCCGTGGTGGAGGCCGAGGCGCCTCCAGAGGCGCGCCAAGAGGTCGAGGAGGTTTTGGTGATCGAGGACGAGGGGGTGCTAGGGGAGGAGGAAGAGGAGGGTTCGGTGCTGGGAGAGGTAGTCGAGGAGGTAATCCCAATTTTACAAGGCCTGGCCCTCGTGGGCGAGGATCATAGTTTATATCAGGCCCGGCGTTGCGGCAAAAGGCGTCTTGTGTATGAGAAAGGACCCAAAATGAAGTCCGTTCAATTTAACACCTTCGATTGAAAAAGTTAGGAGACTTTCATGCCCAAGTAGTGGTACTCTATCGTCGAAAGGTGAACTAAGTAAAGTCCATTTGGAACCTGTTGTTCGCTTAAATGAATGGCGCAGGACCCCGCCAATCATTCGACATTCTGGAATCTATAAAGTATTCTCCATACGTACGATTGACTCGGTACCACCCACTTCGCAATCCCTTTATTTACCCTCGTCATCATGGCCTCTGAGCTGAAGACCGATCCTAAGTACGACGACTATGAATACCCCACCACAAGCCCTAATGTTCAGAGTGGCCATCCAGGGCATACAACGCCAGAGCAAGATGCTCAGGTCTTCCAGCTGCGCACACAATTAGAGCAGGCAGGCTATACGGAGCGATTAGACACTTTATGCATGGTCAGCATCGTGGATGTGGTGTTTCGGCCCAGTGCATCTTTGACACTCAATAGCTTAGGTTCCTACGCGCACGAAAGTTCAACGTCGACCATGCAAAGCAAATGTAAGTACTTACCGTTCAGATCTATGGCTGTGATCTGAGAGAAAATATCAGGTTCATAGATTGCGAGAAATGGAGGAAAGACTTTGGTGTTGACGAGCTCGTACGGACATTTGATTACATAGAGAAGCCGAAGGTCTTCGAGTACTACCCACAGTACTATCATAGAACGGACAAGGTAATTCCAACGCGACCCTAATAGGAGGCATACCGAATTGATGTTCTGAAAGGAGGGGCGACCAGTCTACATCGAGCAATTGGGCAAAATTGACCTTGCCGCCATGTACAGGATCACCACCGCTGAACGAATGCTGCAAAACCTTGTCGTCGAGTACGAGAAGCTCGCTGATCCCCGCCTGCCTGCCTGTTCACGGAAGTCTGGACAGTTGCTCGAAACCTGTTGCACCATCATGGATCTCAAAGGGGTCGGTATCTCCAAAGTGAGCTCCGTGTATGGCTATGTCAAACAGGCTTCGGCAATCTCCCAGAATTACTATCCTGAGCGGCTGGGGAAGCTCTATCTTATAAATGCGCCTTGGGGCTTCTCCTCTGTCTTCAGCGTGGTAAAAGGCTTTCTTGACCCTGTGACTGTTCAGAAGATCCACGTTCTGGGTAGTGGTTATCAAACCGAGTTGCTTGGACAAGTACCAAAGCAGAACTTGCCAAAGCTTTTCGGCGGAACTTGCGCGTGCGAAGGCGGCTGCGCCCTGAGCGACGAGGGTCCTTGGTGAGTGCATCTTCAAGTAAACTTTGTCCGGTTGTTGTTGACTGGCGTCGTTATTACAGGCAAGACTCCGAGTGGACCAAAGCACCAAAATGGGCGCGGACAGAAGGAGAATCAAAGGGGAGTAAACCAACCAGCACTACATCTGCTGTGCAGCCTCAGACTGCCTAAGGTGTATGGGAGCTGGCAGGGTAATCAAAGGCGCCGAAAAAGCACCAGTGGGTCATTAGGTATTGAAAAAGTGTCAAGTCAGCGTGTGACTTTCAAGCCTGATACTAAGACCTTGTTGGAATTGAAAGCGAAGGACAAGACCGAGGACAGCTTGCAGGCATTGCTGTCACGCATTTGTCATACCCTAATTAGACCTGTAATGCATTATAGAGCTCCCAATCATTTCTTTTTCCTCGTTGACTCGTACCTAGTCGAAAAAGAGCACACCCAAGGCTTGTCTTTCTTTTAGACTATGTAACCTAGACGCCAATTCGCCGTGTCTGCACTTAAACATTGCAAGATCCTTCCTTCACGACCTCTACTGCCTTCTCCGCTCGTTCTAGCTTGGCCAATACGCCTGGAATCTTTCCTAGCTCCACCAGTCGCTCTGTCCCTCTTCCCCACATCCTCTCCATGTCGTCTTTTCGCTTCACTATTCCCAAATCAAGATATTCCGCCTCCATGTGTAAACCCTGCCATTCTCTCTCCTTCTCCATTTCTTTCTCCCTCTTGAGCTCGGCTTCCAATCGTTCGACGTATCCTCTCGCTGCTGCCCCAGGCGCATCCCTTCTCAGTTCAGCAATACGTGTCGATTGAGTGTCAAATTCCGCATATAGGGTACGCAATCTCTCGGCGAGGCGAGGGTCGTAGGGTTCGTAGTTGCTGTTGTCATCTGGTGTGTTGGCTTCAGGGGCAGCATTGGGGCGTAGAAGGGTAGGTGAGGGGTCAAGACCATTGAGTGTCAGGGATGGAAGGGCACGAGTGAGCGTCTGAACTATATACTAGGGACAGATCCATGATCAGACGGACGTACTTAGGCGAAAACTTGCAACAAACTGAGAAGAGCAGAAGAGAAAATTACTTCTTGTACGAGCTCCTCGACTTTAGATCTGTACGCGTCTTCACCTTCGGGCGCAGCTGACGGAGGTATCGCAAGATCCATTTTCTGTCGAGCAGCAGCCTTGATGTTATTGAAGAGGTAAGTGAGATCTGAAGGCGACTGGAGATCGATTTTGCGGTGATGGGCGTCCATATTTGCAAGAGCAGCGTTTGATCAGAGGGGCAGATGAGAAGTCAGTTGGCTCAAGAGACAGGCATTCTTATGTCCTGGCAAGGTAACTACGCGGCTTCTCTTGTTTACATTTTGGCCCATAGACTAACCCAGTCGGCGGAGATACTTCCGCGGATCAAAATTGACCTCGGTAGAGTAGATGCGCTTGAATCTGATCGACCAACAACATTCGGCCCCGCGGATATTTGCAACCTCTATGTCCGAAGCTCTTTCGTTGACGCCGAGGCAAGATCCGCTTTTAACAGCACTCGACTTCCCTAAGAAATTTCAAACTCTGCGTTCAGGGAGACCAACCACGCTCTCCCTTGTATCTGACATTACCCGTTATTTCCGCTCACTCCATCTCCTCATCTCATAGTCCCCTACGAAGTATTTTGTCCGTATATAGGGTTAATTTACTACAGTGGTGACAGTATTGGATCTCCACATTTACTCTAGTATTTGTCGACTGCTACAGAAGCAGCCATCAAGACTATGGCCTCTTCTAAGACAATTGTGCTTATCAGTGGCGCCAATCAAGGTATCAGCTGTGGGATCTCCGAAAAGCTCGCCACCGAAACCCTTCTTACCATGTCCCTATGGGATGCCGTTCCTTCTCCAAGGGCGAAGCCGCGGCATCTTCCTTCTCCAACCTTGCCATCGAAGCACTTGAGCTTGACATCAGCTCTGATTCTTCCATCTCCAAAGCCTTCGCCACCGTAGAAGGGAAGTTTGGCCATCTGGATGTCCTCATAAACAATGCGGGTATTTCACAACGAGCTTTACCCGAAGGCCTGACGACCCGCCAACGTTACGCACAGATTATGGACACCAACGCTATCAGTGCAGCCTGTCTCCCCGAGACTTTCATTCCTCTCCTTTGTAAATCCCCGCAGCCACGAATTATCTTTATGAGCTCGGAGCTAGGTAGTATAGGCGATACTCTGAACCCGGCTTCCCAGTACTAGTAGGCAATGCTTCCGCATTATGAGTCGTCAGAGAATTACCTGCTCTTAAGACATGTTTCGCGACTCAGAAATCCCCCCAAAACAGCAATGCTGACTCCGAAATCATCAAGTGGTCTCGACTCCCCAGAGTACAAGGCTTCGAAGGCAGCTTTGAACATGATCATGGCTACGAATGCCGTGGAGCTCAAGGGAGAAGGCTTCAAGGTCAATGTGTGCTGTCCCGGGCTGAATGCCACAGGACTGAGTGGAGGTATGGGAGGCACGCACATTTGGAATTTATTCTTCCTTATTTTGCACCAAATTTCGAGCCACAAGACACAGTCCGGGAGCAGAACCCTGCTCCTACTCCTGAGACCTATCTCATCAACGGAGGTTCCTTGCCTTGAATAAGCAATACTGACTCGGAGATGTGCGTAGCTCATCCTAGCGTTGGTCCTTTGAACGCTTCCAGGTTGGCAAAGGCAGGGAAGGATGGAGAACATGGGACGTTCACAAACAAAGAGGGCTCATTGCCATGGTAAAGAGGCCCGCGTGATAGGCTGACTACTTTCTCCGAGTAGTGACCTGGAATGCACACGTCCAGTCTAGACATCTTGGTAAAGATAACATGGAGGCATGAAAAAGGGTCTGACCTTTGTAGGGTGGACAGTTTGTGTTCTGCCTCAGATATACATCTCTCATAGTCCGAAGCCAGGTCTTAGGTAACACAGTAGGACAGTAGGCAAATTGTTTAACCGTCGCCTTTCGTAAATCCCATATGAAAGCTCCACCAATCCAAGATCTCGCACTCGCCCAAATCATGGGCCAATGCTTTCATCGAGTGGAACTCCTTCACATCACCACTCTTGACCAGCAACCGGCCTTGCTCCACAGTTTCCGAGCATAGAAGCTTGTAATCTTTATACCTCAGTCGCTATTTCCGTAGGATTCTCACGTCAGCGGAATGCCAGCAACAGCGAATTCTCTTGACTGATCTAGAGATGTATGTTCTATCAAGCAGAGGAGCGGATGTAACATTAGAAGCAGGAAATTTGCTACCTTGACACTTCCCACCCACTCCTTTAAGTCTAGTTCTCCTTGTCTTGATGATTTCAGAGTCAGCATTACTCTTTCGGGAGGAATCCAGAGTTGTGAGACATGTCCTAGGAACAGAGAACTCTATAGACATGTCTGACGACTCATAAGACAGCATGACCGGGGAAGAATTGCCTCCGAAAGTATAACGTACTCTCCACCGCACTCCCCAACCATCACGCCCGGTGGGTGCCCTCCAGACTTTAAATATACAGCGCAATTGCACTTCTTGGCGGCCTTGGTGATGGCCGTGATCTTTTTGCGGGACGTCATGTGGTGGGTCTTTATCAATGCACGATAGAGCATCATAGCGAGGGACCTCTCATTACTCTACTTCTCGAGCAGCAAGGCTTTTGCACGGCGACTGAATATGGGTTAAATAGTTGGTGTATCATGGATGCATTTTTTCCTCGGAATCTAAGTCATCTTCTGAATGTAGGGTAAATTCATTGGAGTGGGCATTACACGATTGGTTGAGGCAAAACTTGAGAAGCTAATTGGTAGCTTTCAAGTAGTCTCGCCTATCTTCTAAAGAGCTGACATGATGACCGCCATTGAGGCAGACACGAATCGCTCAAACTTCGTCGACAGCGTCAACGTGGTATCATAAAACAACCCTGCTGCACCGACACGCCTGATTCAAATGAGAGGAATGCATAATTTCGATTCGCTAAATCGCTTCAGGAATCCGAAGAGAAGTCCTTGTAGTCTTCATCGCATGCCTTAGGCATCAACGGTAGAGAAGCCGGACATCGGGAGCGCCTGCCTGCTTCTCACCGCCCACCCTTTGAACGCAAGGACAAAGATGGCCCAAGCCATGAGTAAGGACGTTAATCCCATTGTTACAGTGAAAGGAAACATAGCATGCAGGTTGTAATGCTCCATAGCCGCAACGGTGTCCTTGTTGCTGGCCATGAATATCAGACCGCCCGATATGAGGCAGAAAGAGCTAATGATCTCCGAAGGTGGACGTGACGGCAGACATGACGATGGTGGGGCCACATATTGTAGGATGTAGGTGACCGCACGTGCCATTGCAAATCCGACAAACAGGGTGCCCCACTGCTTGTGGATCATAGTGGATATCATGGACGCTTGGTGATGGGAGCTCATCATTAGACCTAGAAGAAGAATGATCAGGCCTGGGAATGGATTCATCGAAAATGAGTACGTCTTTGGCGCACTCGAAAGCTCCTTGTCAGCTTTCGCGGCCGGGGAAATCAAAATTGCCGTGTTAAGCAGGTCACGAACCCGCGTCGACTCGATAATCATACCGCATAGGCCACCACCAAAGAACATGATCGTAATCGATAGATGCTCCAAGTCTTGCGCACTCCATGCATGTCCCCATGCAGCAAGATGTTCCAGGAAAACGTTGGATGCGCCGTAGAGGAAGATAACGAAAGACTCGACAAATTCCGCGGAGGGCATCGCAGCCATCCGACGGCTGACAACTCCGACAGGCGGCCGGACGTTCCATGCCCAGCCCATCTCGCTGAAGCAGCCCATCCAACGTCCCAGAGTGAGAAGTCCATACCAAAAGAATATTCCGCCTTTGACGGTATGCGCAAGACCATTGAACACGTTGTTGCCGCGCTATGTGAAAGTCAGCTCTGACGGTGCCTTGGGTGAGAGTACTGATCATAACTTACGAATACGCCTCCGTAGACCACTGCACCAGATACGATAGCAGCGAACCCAAGTACCAGGCTCACGCAATCGATGGCGTTATAGGTAACATTTAGAGCTCTCATTGTTCGCTGAGACATCATAGCGGCTATGCCGGATGCGAGGCGCTGCACTTTCGTGTTACTCAAAAAGCCCTGCTTCTCTAGGTACTCTGGCTCCGTATCTGCATCATGATTCTGATACTCGAGGAACTTTTCGTGCTCTTCGTTTTCGTGGTCCTGTGTTGACGAGATAGACTGGCTGCGAGAGGCTTCTGATGCTGTAAAATGACCACTATCACGCGAATAGCGATACTCGTCTGGGGAGTAAGTTGCCTGGTGATGTTGCGCCAGAGCCTCGATGGATATGGGCAAAAAAGCAGCTGGCTCTTCATCATCAACATCCAGAGGTTTCTTGAAACCGACAGCCAACTTGACAAGTCCGATGATGCACTGCGCTACGACGATCCAAGTGACGATCCACCCAATCTTATTGTGAGCGTTGTTCTGATATAGGTCGGGCGTTTTGGAGCTGTAGACAGTCCCAAGCAACAGACCAACTGAGTGCAACCCTAAGAAAGATAACTGAGCGGGGAGAGCAAGCCGAGACCGCGCAACACTTAGCATCACGCCTAGAACACAATGATTAGCAGAAGAAAGGATGTTGCCATTCAGACGTGTGCTTACCAATGGGCAGGACGAAGACCCATGCAGCGGTCATGACGACGATATGCCCCAACATCAGGCCGCCTAAAGCTGGGTAGGTAAAGTAGCTCTGCAGCGAAGCGCTCGACGAGTTCATGCTTGCAGCTGACATGGAACTTGGCGCAGACCCTATATTTGCCGGTTCGCCAGCATGGTCATCATGACCATGCGCGAGAACCACAGATGTTGTCGCTAGCAGCACGATCGCGCCAATGAGTCTGAGACTTGATGTATGTACCATTAGGTAATCTTTTCCCTCAGCTTCTTGATATGATTGTTTCTTCCTTGTTCCACTGCTATTTGTAGAGTGAGCGGTAGTGCTTGTGCGAATGTGAAGTTGAAGGGATGATTAGGTAGAGTGCAAAAGATCAGATAAATGAACAGGGGCTTGAGTGAAGCTAAGGTTAAGTTACATTAAGGCTGTAGGAGGAGTGAGGAATTTATTAAGAGTGCTGAATGCCAACGTGATGACATTGCCAGCTGACTCGGATATGTCAGCGACATCCCCGGCGGCCACGGTCGGAAGCCTTTCTTTCTCAGTTTACCTTGTGATGTAAGTGATGTAAGGATGCGAGTTGTAGAGAAGTCGGTCTTGGAAAAGGATGGAAAAGTTCGGAATCTGCTCTCCAATCAAAACGGAATGCTGTCAACTTATTAAATGTTAGAGGCTAACACTGAGTACATCCGAGCATAAAGCCCTGGTCTTGCCTTGTCAACGGAGCACCTTCCGACGTCTCACAAGATAAGTATGGTGAGAGAAGGAAGCCCGTGTGTTGCCAGCATTTAGCATCGAGCATCTTTTGATTGATTCACCGATTCCTTATCTTTCTTGGGCAGATGACATATGTGCTAGTCATGGTACCTGTAATTAGTCGCCAACAACATGACAGCAGTATCAGCTGCAAGTCTCGGAATCTTCGGCTTCCACACCCTGCCCACCTTCTTACGCTTTCCATCTCACAACTTGCCCGGCGCCGCAACGATCCGTACTTTTCTTCGCAAACGCAGTCATGATTAAGTAAGTATGTATTTCAGCGGTCTGTGGGTACGGTTCTCAGAATCCGCCACTCTTGCGGCAAGCCCCGATGCTTGACTCACTGCTTAGTGCTTACCTTATCTCCGCCGGCCGCCGGCCTTTATTAATGCCTTGCCGGAGGAGACTAAAAGGAACCGCAGAAGCACGGCAACCCTTCTTCACACCAGCAGCACCAGTGATTCATGTGTTTCCTTTGCCAAGCTTTTAAATCATTTACGCTCCTTCACAGCCTCGAACAACGATAAACGTCCTGTCATTCCGGCTACTAGATCACAGCGTAGGTCCATCATTCGCGCTGTAGGGCAGATGATCCTAGCTATGGCGAGGCAGCTAGACGCGTAATAGTTTGTGTGCAATTTACCTTAGGGGATTTGAAATGCGAGATCAGTCTAACGGTATTGATGAGTAATTTTCAGAACGATTTGATGGCTACTTACAAGTACCTAGACACCTAGACTGCTGCCTAGATAGCCGAATTCTGGGGACCTTCTATATTGTAAAATGTCCCTCAATTTCAGCACGGCTGAGCTGTTACCTGATTTCTACTTTTATTAAACGGAAACAAATATTGCGATGGAGAATTTTCACAGCTTTGAGCCTCGTTATTGTCATCTATGTATTAATATCCAAATGTTTCTAAATACGCCAGTCTCGCTAAGCTGACAGAAACCCCCCCTCGGCCTGCCGTACCTATGGCAGCCTATACCGACCTCGACCGACGAGACCCTTAACCTCAATTTAATGAGCTGGCAAAAGTGCTGCAATATGCCAAAATGATTTAAGACGGAGATGTTACCATTATTCATAATTTCCGGTTAGTGCTAGCACAATGAAACAACGAAACGTCAAAACACCAGCATAAGCAACAGTAGCATGAGTATAAATGATTAGGCTGTTTCAAAGCCTGGGCCAGCAGACTCATACAGGTGATTAACCGATCGTCTCGTTCTCAGGGGGGAGATGATGATGGGAACAACGTGGATGCCGACAAAGGAAGTTCGACAGGCGCTCAATAAAGCCATGGTGTGGTATTGCAAGG